TTAGGTTGCCCCCTAATAAACTGAGGACTAATCTAAAGGATTAAGTGTTCCTCAGATGCCAACTTTACTGGGCTGTCTCCTGCAACGCACACACACAAACACACACTGCCTCCTGGAACGCGCACACACACACACACACACGCACACTGCCTCCTGCAATGTGCACGCATTCACGCGCCCACATGCACACACACATTAACATTTTTGCTATGGCATGTGCACTCACCAGAGAGATACAGAGAGAGAGAGAAGGAAAGTGAGAAATTACCCTTTAGGGAGGACGGCCTCACTGCAATCCTCTCTCTCCCAGTCCCCTCTCCGGATTTTGGGTACACATGTACATGCACCTGGCGTGGTTTTCAAGCCACTGTTCAGGATTTAAACTGTGCAGCTGGCCATGCAGGATCATGTGACTTAACCTCCACACCACCTGCCGGCCAAACACTATAGGGGATGTTGTTTTTAGGGGATGTTAAATTAAGTTCTTGCTATTCAATCAACATATAGTTATACATACTTACAAACCCCTTTAAAAACATTTGATTTTCATGCTGGAAGCAGCCCTATAAAATTGGGCAACTAAAGGGCCCTTAACCCTTTAGATTCATCCCCAACTTATCAGAAGTCATTTGGCCCTAATGTAACATGCCAGCTACAGCTCTATGGTTCAGACCTATAAAGACTGCCCTAAACTAATTTCTTTCAGAAGGCAAAAATATTGCATATATTCCATCAATGAAAAGAGTAATAGAAAATTTTTCATTAAAAAAATACAAAATAGGGGCCAGCAAGTGGCATGGTGGTTAAGGGCGCTGGACTCCCACATGGCCAACTGTGGTTTGAATCCTGGACCTGGCAGCTTGCTTTCTCAAAATTTCCCTCTCTCTCTCTCCCTTTCTGGTCAAATTAAAATAAATAAATAAATAAAGTTAAATAAAATAATACTTAAAAAAAAGGAAAAAGGACAAACTAAAGATTAACACATAAAAGCTGATACCCTAACATGTCCCAGAAGGTCACCTGTCTAGAGGAGTTGATTTCTCAATGAATCAGTAAAAATGCTTTTTCTTGAATACTGGTATAGAGCACAATGGTTCAGAGCAGTAGTCCAAGATCAATCGGGTAATGACTTTATAAAGAAAATAAATACTGCTGATTGCTTACTCAAAGGTCTAGGTTATATATGAGAATGCTTTAAAGTTTTTAGCAAGAAGCTAAGAGTACAAGCTATTGTCAGCGGTACACACACACACACACACATACATCACATATTATGTAAATATACATATACCAAGAAAATAGATAGGCAGGTGGTGAGAAACGAAGAAAAAGCTGTCTAATAATTGATCCGTTTTCTTTTCACTTGGAGAATGTCAGTATCTTAGAAGAGAACATGATCCCACTTCTAGAGCTTGTTAACATCAAACACAATGGCTTAAAAAAATATTTTCAAATAAATGATAGAACTACCATAATGCTGCATTCCTGTGTTTCCACAGCTTTCTGTTCAGAACAGAAAGTTCAATTCATACATATAATATGTTCATGAAGAAGCAGGGAGATTACTGTAAATACAACACACAAATTGTAAACTTGGCTTTAAATCACCCTTTTACTCAAAAGACGGGGCTGAACTACAGGGTGCAGCTTTCATGACTTTGAACACAGATACATACCAATGAATTAATCAGGATAAGGTACAAAATAAACTCAAACATTTTTTTTTTTGGTATAGGGCGCATGTGCCAGACAGACAGAGAGAGACAGAGAGACAGAAAGCGAGAAATCACCCCCCAGGGGGGATGGTCACGCCGCAATCCCTTCTCCTCCATTCTCCTGTCGGGATCTTGGGCACGCACGCACACGTGCCTGGCGTGAGTTTTAAGCCACGGGGTCCGGGACGCGAACCGTGGTCGACTACGTGGGAGTCCAGCGACATAGCCATTACGCTAACTGCTGGTTCCCAAACATCTTAAAGTATATGTTTCAGTAAGTCCTTTTGCTCAGCACCATCAGGTAGTTATATAAGAATATTGAAGTATCAACACATCAAAATGGACTATTAACATATAAAATAACTCCTTCTCTTATCTTTACTGTGATGCATTGGCTTACATCTACATGTGAGCTTTTGTTACTTTATTTATTCAAAAACATTCCCATGTGCCTATCAAAATAAACAAGGTACTATGTGTCAGGGCTAAATAAGATGCTGCATCTGTATTCAAGGAAATTCACAATCTGATAAATAAAACCCCTAAAAAACTACAGACAAGATAGAAAGCAGTGTCATGAAAGGCAGTGATAAGATGTGACTCTATAAACACTAGGAAGGAAGGATGGTTTAATTTCTGCAGGGGTTACCAGAAGGAAACATCTGAGTCAGGGTTTAAAAGATAAGTAATATATTTGCAGTTCCCCAGGCTGTAAGATGTCAGTTCTGAATCAGTTAACTTGTAAGTTCTTTAAGATTCCTCAAATTAAGTTGATTTTTAGTTCCTGTCTGACATAACTTACTAAAAATATATTGATATATTTCCAGGAAATGAAGTGTAGCCTTTTCCTCTTCAAGAGATACTAAAAATACATTTTAATTCAGTCTGAAAAACTTTGATTCCAAGTTTTCATATGTCACCATGTATATGTAATCAATGCACCATTAAATATATTATGGATTTTTCCTTTAAGCAGAAAAATATAAAACAGTGGGAAATCTTTTCAATGCAATATCCTGTTGGAAACATATGTTTAATTATTACCATTAAATTCCAACTATTTATCTTTTAAATAAAAGTCTGAATTTGTTTTAGTGTGTCTTTCCCAGCTGCTAACATTTTTTTACTTGTCACTATAGGCAATTTGGAGTATGCAGTACAAACTAGATACAAAAAAATCATGTGTTTATGATTGCCCTCCCCGTTTTTTCAGTATATGAAATAATTTCTCTACATTTTCCTATTGAACATAATATTCCAGCAAGAATGGAATATTAATTGATGTTACACACAAGCTGGGCTATCATTCCTCAAATTTAATAAGCAAAAACAAACAAACAAAAACCAACCAGGTTTCCTGTTTTTAGTTATGGTTTATTAGTGCCCATTTGGGGGGGATTAAACTAAAGGGTCTGTCTCTGTTACAGCTTATTCTTCCCTTAATTAAAGTACCCAAGGAGACCAGTTCCTTCCATCTGCTCCTCTGATGGCTCTTCAAATCAGAGCCTATTCAAGCTTCTCCCCAAGGCCCTAAACAACATGCATGACAACTTCCTAGGGAAGCCCAAAGCCTACCTCACCCTTCCCACCGGGGAAACACACAGACTCAGCCCTTTCTGGTGTGATTATGTAAGAATGCAAGGGTTCGCTTTACCCTGCCTAAAGCTGAGACCTAGCCTTTAAACATCAACTTACGCCCTGCCTTCTCAAACACAGAGAAAACAAGTAGGATTTATCTTTTAACAATAGCAACATATTGCAGGGAATCTTTTGTAAAACTTCTGATGTCCTAGGTATTGCATAGAGTGTTGGGAAAGTAAGTGGTCTTAAATGTCCTGCTTACAGTATCCATGTTTGACTGGGGCTGGAGGAAGTGTTAGCGACTGTGGTAGCAATAGAAAGAACACTTTTGTACATTAATGTTTTTCCTTAGGCAAGTTCTTTGTCTCAGGGAATTTCCAACTCCTCACCCAAATTTCTACTTCTTAGCTGAGGCAGTACCGGAATTTGGGTAATGATTTTTGTTGTACAGAATGTTGGTTCCCCTTGAAGCATATACACTAAATGTCAGTAGCAGCCACCCCATCCCCCATGTCACTGGGGTGACCAACGACACTGCCAGTCACTCCCGACTTCCACAATGCTTCTCACCCAGGACAGTGTTGTGCCTGGTTTGAGAACCACTTCGAGGCTAAGATGGATTCTTTTTCTTTTTCTTTTTCTTTTTTTGGAGAGGTTTTTGCTATAGGGCGTGTGTGCTCGTCAGACAGACAGAGAGAGAAAGAGAGACAGAAAGCGAGAAATCACCCCCCAGGGGGGATGGCCACGCCATGATCCCTTCTCCTCCATTCTCCTCTCAGGATCTTGGGCACGCATGCACACGTGCCTGGCTGAGTTTTAAGCCACCGGGTCTGGGACGCGAACTGTGGTCGACTACATGGGAGTCCAGCAACATAGCCATTACGCTAACTGCTGGTCCCTTTTTTTTTTTAATGGATTCTTCTTAAGGCTTATTTAATTGTAGGTAATTTATACTGTATATAACACATGGATTCGGTGTTATGTAAAATAGATCACTCAAAAAGCAGCATGTTAATACCTATTTCCAGGCTGTTCTTTTTATATTTTGAGTGTAGAATGCAAAATAAAAATTCATCTCAGAAACAATGAACTATAAGGAGAAATACAAGCAAACCAAAGTCAACAGCTATTATGGTTTTGCATCTGAATAAGACCAAGAAGAGGATATTATAGCTCATTCTTTGCCAAAACAGGGCCCTTGGGGTCATTCTTCCTATTCTCGCTTACATGAAGCCTTTGCCCAGCATGGGTGGTGCCACTTGTTTATGGGTCATTGAAGTTCACTGTAAATTTAATTCCTTCTTTACAGTCTGTACCCCTGTTTTGGAGGAGTGCTTTATCACACTTAGGGGCACCCTGCTATTTCTCATACAGATGTTGCAGAGAGGTCAACATTCTTAGCTCTCTCTTCCCTGACCTTAGTATTACATATACACAGGTCTAAAAACAGTGGTTGTGGCAAAGAGCATTTGGAAACTTGTAACCGATTCCTTTCTAGTGGCTAAGATGGAACAGGCTATTTCTGTAATGCGTCCTGTCCACAGAAAGCACAGCCTGGATGTGTCTATAGTTGCCAGCACAACGCAAAGACATTCTGTACCAACCAAATGTGGGCAGTAATAACACTGGGGGCACAGAAAGGGGAAGTGCGCCATTCAAGACTGGAAAAATCAGTTAACGAAAGGAGAGCAGTCTCTCACTCACCACTGAAGTAAGAGCCATCTGAAAACTGTAGATGCGGGCAAGGCCAAAATCAGCCAGTTTTATCTGTCCACTGCTGGTCACCAGAATGTTCTGTGGTTTCAGATCACGATGCACTACTCGGTGAGAATGAAGAAAGTCCAGACCTCGGAGAAGCTGAAACATCATATCCTAAACCAAACCAAAAAAGAAATCAATAAATGCTCAGAATAGAAACTTGGCATGTGCTGCATTTGACCCTGAGACCTCAGCACTTTGCTGAGTGGCTGACACACAGTAGGCAAATGGTAAATATTAGCCAAACCAATAAATGTGACTCCCTTCCTACCTTTCCACTTTCCCTTTCTCGCGAACACTACAAAAAATTTCATTCCCAACCTGTATTTTAGCAATGAGAGGACAATTTAAGAATAGTTATAGATGGCATAGAAAATATTCTGGAAGGATATATATGCCAGACTCATGTCAGTGGTTAATATACTGGGGAAAGAAAGCAGGAGGTGGTAAAAGAGGGGGTTACTTTTTACTTCACGTGCTTCTATATTGTTTTCTGTGTTATTTTGAGAAAACCCAGTGCATAATAAAAAGTATTAATAGTAAGTATTATTGAGTTGTTGGAAAAGTCATGACATATTTTTTTCTATGCAAAAATGAGTCAGGACCTTTCCAACAACGCAGTATTATTTTTACAGGATGTAATACTAAGTAGTCACTATGTGTCAAGCACTATTCTAAGCACTGTCAGTTTAGTGACTCATCCATACCACAACATGGAAGTCATCACCCCATTTTACAGGTCAAGAAACTGATACGCAGAAGTAGGTCAGGCAGTTAGTCTAAAGTCACAACACTAGCAAGAGAGAGTTGCGATTCAAACTGGAGCGAAAAACTGGATTCGAACCATTGCACTCCTTTACTAGATGAATGAACAAATGAGATATAAAATGAAGTCAGTCATTTAACTTCTCTGAACTGGTTTTCTGGTCTGTAAAATGGGAAAATAATGAAACCTTCTTCCTAGGCTTTCCATTTGTAAAGCACTTAGCACAGTAGCATGCATGCATTCAACAAATGGTGACGACTACTATTATCATTATCAAGCGGCACAGAGCAGGGGGGGGCTTTCAGAAACAAAATAGTATCAGATCTTTCTCTAACTTCAGGACCAGTAAAACTAGATACAAGATTTAAAACTCAGAAGCTGTTACTGAAAGTAGAAACTTAAGACACTGACCATGATATCATGATTCTCTGCAACAGGGAGCGACCCAACCATCAAGATACCGTGAGAATGGTGTGTACAAGGAGGATGAACACAACTTAGAAGAATGATTAGGCAACATTACGGGCTTCGAAGCTGGAAGGTGATCGTGAAGAAATGCTTGTTAATCAGCGAGACCACCCCTTTCTCTCATCAGAACAGCATATTTGGTTATTAGTTTATGGTTTTGTGTCTTCCTTTAGGATTGGAAGTTCTGTCTTTACATCTTAGTTTGCTTAAAACTAAAATCTTAGTTTTTCTATCTATAAATTGAAAAAATAACACTTTTTCATAATTTTATGAGATTTACATGAATTAACCTATACAAAGTGGTAATGCAGTTTCTGGCACACGGTAAGCCTTCAACAAATGGTGATTATTAGGATAACTGCTGCCAAGACAAGCATCCTGTTTCCTGGGGGAGTCAGATTCCCAAGCAGCTGTTAGATATGTCCAAAGTCGGCATGAAGAAAGTGCTAAAAGTGCTCTTGCAGTGACACTGGTGTACTGCAACCGTTTCGGAGATCTCCCTGCACGGGTCTCCTGAGTTGGCAGTGGTTACTTTCTAAGCTTCCAAAGGTGAAAACCCTGGAGGAGGCTGTGCTGGCAAGGGACAGCCTTTCAAGACTTGAGAATCACTGCAGGTCAAACAACATGAAATGAATAAACAGGAGTGCGAAAATGAAGCACAAAATGCTACAGAAAGTTGTCTCTTGCTGCGGCAAATAAGTCTTTATTGGAAACACATGTACACAACTTGTAAGCACTGAATTTTAAAAAGCATGACTAACCTAAAGTAATGTCATGCTGGCTCATCGCCTTTAGCTTCCTGTATGCTAAGCATCACCCATTTCAAACAGTACACAAAGCAAGTCTGCTTGGTTCATGTTGCAGCATTCGAACAATTTAAGCAGCATAAAGACAACAAATTTAAAAATCTAAATAGATTAATAAAAGGTCTACCTACATTTATAAAAGGACTGAACTATAAAGTGAAAGAAAAATAAAACATGTATGGGCGGGACCTGTGGCCTATTGGTTAAGGAAGCTGGATTCCCACAAGGCCAACCACAATTCAAATCCTGGCCCTGGAGACTTAAGAGACACACTGGATGCGTGTGCTTGCCTGTTCCCCAAAATCTTAACAGGATGGAGAAGTGGAGAAGGGCCTGCAGCATGACCACACCTCACTGGGGGGTGCTTTCTCTCTCTCTCTCTCCACATGCACTGTGGCAATTAAAAAAAAAAAAAAAAAAAACCACACACACATATAATGCTTTTATTTGTATATTTACTCATGTTCCACATACTATCAATTCATTTTCTTAATCATAAGATTGATAAACTTACTGTATATATGCTTAATGCAGAAATATAAATATTTCAGAATCCAAAAGAAGAAATCATGGAAAATCTCACTACTCAGAGATCACAGAAACTTCACTGTTAAATAACAATTTCATGTCTTTCTAGTCTATCTTTTAAAAATTACATGTTATATATGTATGTATCAATCAATATAGGTTATATTTTCAATGACTGTTATTCCATACACATTATTTTGTTCCTTTTTTAAAATCATGGAAGAATGCATTGTGACTACTTGAACAAAATTATTTAATATAACTTTTTATGTGATGTGATTTTTTTTTAAAAATGTACTATGTGCATCTTATCTTTTTCCCAGAGGACACAGTTCTTCAGCCCTTAAAGATTCAGCTCCTTGGGACCAGCAGTTGGCGTAATGGCTATGTAGTTGGTATTCCCATGTAGTTGACACTAGCCAGGCACATGTGCGTGCATGCCCAAGATCCTGAGAGGAGAATGGAGGAGAAGGGATTGTGGCGTGGCCATTGGGGGGATTTCTCACTTTCTGTCTCTCTGTCTCTCTCTGTCTTTCTGGCAAGCACACGTGCCCTATAGCAAAAACCTCTCTTAAAAAAAAAAGAAAGAAAAATATTCCACTCCTTACATGGTGGAGGACATGCGGCAGCGCCCGCAGGTCCAAATTGGGGTGGAGGTGCTTGGTCCTTTGGAGCTTCTTGAGATCAGTTCTTGACTACTTTGCTATGAATGGCACAACTCATACGGTAACACAGCTTCACGTAACGTTCAGGACAATCTCTGACACTTGCTTTGGAGATGTCCCTGATGGCTGTGGTCTCTACGTTTCAGATGGTGAACATGTTTTGTTTTAGAGGTTTTTGCCATAGGGTGCCTGTGCTTGCCGGGGATAGAGGGAGAGAGACAGAGACAGTGAGAAATCACCTCCTCAGGGGATGGTTATGCTACAGTCCCCTCCCCTCTATTCTCTTCCTGAAATCTTGGGCGTGTACGCACATGTACCTTGTGTGATTTTCAAGCCATCAGGTTAGGGACACAAACTGCGGCTGACCATGTGGGAGTCCAGTAACGTAACCACTATGCTGTCTGTTTGTCCCCAAATGATAAACATTTTTTTGAGAATTTTTTTTGCAATAGGGTACGTGTGCTGATCAGAGAGACAGAAAGAGACACAGAAAGTGAGAAATCACTTCCTGGGGGAATGCCCACATGGCAATCCCTTCTCTTCCATTCTTCTCTTGGGATTTTGGGTGCATACTCACATGTACCAATGATTAACATCTTAATAGCCTTCTCCTTGGGCACGTAGTGGGCACAGTTAGTGCAGCAAATAGGCTTGCACATGGCCATGGCCCTTTCTGGCATGACGGTTGGTCACTTCTTTTCTTTTTCATCTTGGAAGCCAGGAGTGATGTGATTTTTAATGGCTCCATAGTTTTCCTGGGATATGCCATAATTGTTATTACTTGGCTTTAGTTGTGTTATTTTGGTACTTATACTTTAGGTCTAGTTTTCTTTAGTTTCAAGGCTAGAGTAGATTAAAGTACCATGTCAACACCATACAGAAGCATAGGTGTAACAGTATGAATCCACATGACTGCACTACTACTGATTCCAGGTCAATGATGCCTATGATGAAAGCTGGTTCCATATTAAGACTTACCATTCTTTACCTATTATTAGATCACTTTAATTTTTTTGTTTGTTTGTTTTGTTAGCAAACTGGTTTTTCTTTTTCTTTCCTTTTCTTTTTTTCTTTCCTTTAGGTTTTTGCATGCACTCACTGGAGAGAGACAGACAGTCAAAGAGAGAGAAAGTAAGAAATCATATCCCCCCTCCCCCACAGCAGGGATGGCCACATCACACCACAATCCCTTCTCTTTCATTCTCCTCTTGGGATCTTGGGTATCCACACACATGAGTCTGGTGTCATTTTCAAGCAGGTGAGTCAGAGACTTGAACCATAGTTGGTCAAGTGGGAGTACAACACCTTAACCACCATACCACTTATTGGCTCTTCTTTTAAGTATACAATCTTTAGATATAATTCGAATTCTGAACCGGTGAACTTTGAACTGATGACTTAAAAAACACAATCTTACCAAAACTCTCATTACTTTCATAATTCAGCTGTCAGGTTGATAAATATTATGATTTGTATAATAAACACAGGTGGGGAAGGGTCTTTGGTCTTTTACCATTGTCTGTTAGAACATCTAGTCTCAAAAGTGAAATACTTTCAACTACGTCCGTCAGAAACTCTATTTTTCAAATAAGTGTTAAGACATGATCCTAATTCTAGGCAACAGTATGAATGGATAAACTACAACACTAAATAAGGTAAGAAAAAACACCTTACCTTTTAGAATCACAAGTGTTTTGATCAAATATTGGGTTTTTGGAAACATCGTGACACATTTTTGCATAGGAAAACAGAAAAATATGTCATAATGCTTCCAATGACCCAGTACACCTCAATGAATTCTCTGAGACATATTTAGCTCCCTATGATTTAATCTAAATTAATCTATCCTGTGCAAGAATCAAATATTTCACCATAACCTTAGTGTGGCAATGCAGTGAAATTATGGATACTGTCCATTAATGCTCTTTAAGTTAAACTTAGGTTTAATCGTTCACCCTTTTAAGTTACTAAGCAAAGTTGTGGTATAAGAGGTCATACTTAGGATACATAGTTACTGGGGGCCCTCATCTATCTTTCTGATGTGACTTGGAATCAGTTTCAAAAGGGCACCATGGTAGAATGAAGTCTGGCTCCCAGCGATTTTAGGTGGGGCTTTGTCTGTGGTAACTTCCCTAAAAAGACTAGACTTCAGTAGGAATACCAGAAACTCTTAAAGTCTTGTCATTGTTTCTTTTAGCTGTTCTAGAGTTCTAAAGTGTCTCATGTCTTTAAAACCAGAGCAACCAAGCAAACTAAACACCCACCTGAAGCTTTTCTAATGGGAAAAAGATTTATAACTGAACACTTTCCAGCTACAAAAAAAGTATGACTCATTCCAAAAGATAATAAAAACAGCCAATTTTTACCACATAATAAGTCACAGAAATGACAGCGTTAAGTGGACAAATCTGGATATTTGTATACACAGGGGTATTTCAGAAAGTTTGTAAAAAGATGGAATTAAAGTATGAGTTTATTTTGGTGCAAAAAAATTGAAATCCATATTCAGTTTTTTTTCATAACATGCATTTTTTTATGAACATTTTGAAGGCTACTTGTACCTAGTTAATCTACAGTCATAATCTTAAAGTTTGAGCACCAAGAATATACATCAGTAGTTTATCTATTTAAGAATTGGCCAGCTGTGGTGGCATAGTGATAGTGCAAGACTCTGTGATACTGAAGCCACATGGGAAAGTCCTGGCTTCACGTCCTCAGATGTCCCTGTACACACCGAGGATGCTCACATGCCATGATGCCAGCTGGCTAAGGACGGGGGTGGATTGTGGTGTGAAGATTCTTCTGGAGAATGGTCTTCTCTCTCTCTTGCTCATGGAGTAAATAAATATATTTAAAAAAATTTTAAAAACCACACATTTTGTAGAAAAGGATAATCACTTTTTTCTTATGAATTTGTAAACCACAGTCTTTTCCGATGTTACCCAAGTTTTCACAGAATACCTTCATAGTGGTTTGTCTGTTTCTTGTGAGAGTTGTTAGGAGTCTACGGTCTAAAATATATCATATGTAACAAAGGTCTTTCACACTAACATGAAAACATATTCAATTAAGGTAAAAGTTATGAACATGGGAATAGAGGTAAAGGTTACCTAAGCCTACACAACCTGTACAATAAAGACAGTAGAGGGTTGTTGACAACAATGAGGGTCAGCCCCAGGAACTTTTACTTCTTATTACTAATACATAAATTTTAAATTTCTAACTGTGGTAAAATATTCATAATAAATAATTACCATCCTGGCAATTTTAAGTGTATTGCTCAGTATTAAGTATATTCACATTACTGAGCAACCAATCTTTAGAGCTGTTGTATCTTACAAAACTAAAACTCTATACCCATTAAACAATGACTTCCCATTTCCCCCTCCCCTCAGGCCCTGGTAACTACCATTCTACTTTCTCTATTTTCATAAATCTGACTCCTCTAAGTATCCCATATATGTGAAATTATATTGTATTTGTCATTTGGTAAGTGGCTCATTTCACTGAGCATAATCCTCAAGTTTCATCCATGCTGTACTATGGGTCAGAATTTCCTTCCTTTTGAGACTGAATAACATTTCGTAGAGCATATGTATATATCATATTTTGTTTATCCATCGATCAGTCGACACTGGGTGGTCTGTACTTTCTGGCTATTAGAATAATGCTGCTATGAACACGAGGGTGTACTTACCTTTGCAATATTGCTTTCAATTCTTTAGGCTATATATTCAGAAATGGAATTGCTGGATCTAGTCCCAGGATATTTGAAAACCATAGTCCTTCCATAAAATGGGGCTACCACATTGCTAGCTCAGCAATGAAATGGTGAATAACAAAGCTACGTTTGGAGAGTTGGTCAGGTAGGATCATTTACTCCTTAGAGATTTCACCCATTCCTTTTTGCACTCGGAGAATCCGTGCCATGATTACCATACTGTAGACATCTTCTATACTACTTCAAAATTTGACAGGCTTTTGCATGCTTTCATTAATCAATTAATAACAATGGGTTTTAAAGACTGGTTCAACACAGGGCTCCCTCTACTTCTTTCTTTGGTCCTAAGGAGTACCCAAAGAATGCTTCATCCAAAACCAAAAAAGACAAAATAAATTCTGAGAAAATAAGATGAGGGTTCAGACAGGTTCCTTAAAACTTCCAGATGATCTGGATTGTAGTTGGTGAATTCAAAACAAGCAATTAACCAGAGGTCTGCAAGAGTCATGTATGATCTTTGTTCAAAGAAAAGCCCAGTCAAGCTGTGTATACTGGCTGTCACTTTACTACTGTACATGAGGGGAGTGTGGTAGCCAAGTTAGGACACATCACACGGGGCTCCTTAGCACAAAGGCATGGACCCTACTGGAAGTGTTCACTTTCTGTTGCCTCTCTACTTTTACTAGTTCTAGGCAAATGGATAAAAATGTAATAAAAGTGACTTTGCATATAAATTTTACTGGGCAAATACGCAGTGTGAAGTAAGAATTGAAATAATCCATGTAATAATCATTCCTGGAAATGATAGTAATGCTAAGGTAAAGAACCAATCTCAGCTAATTGAAAAAAAAAAAAAATGACAACTCACTTCCACTCAGTCTGAAAATGTTGTTGGATTTTGAGGGACAATGTAATGACTTAAATGGACAGTCTAAAAGAAGGAATCATTACCTCATCACGATGGCTATTACTAAACCACTGTGGAAAGTCATCGGGAACTGAAACTATGAATATGCAATATTAATTATAACTTCTTCAGAGTAGGTTATAAAAAATCAGCACTGAATAAAAATATTTAAAAATACAAAACACAAGGGCCTAGGTTGCTGGCTAATGATCCCTGAGGCTATTTTCTACACACATTGTTTGGCGATGCTCTTAAAAACATTATACTATTCTGTAAATATCTCTACACATGCTTTGCTACAGTGAAATTGTAACTATATGCTCCTTAATGGCTGCTTTTGGACAAAATACTTTCTTATATTTCCCTATTTTCCCTCTCAATTCCCTCTTCTGGAATTTTCCCCGTACTCCATACTTCTCTCCCCTCCAAATGAGGTAATGTATTAGAGAAGTTGGTTTCTACAGAGAAGGGCATATTATTTGCTTGCTGTACCAGACACTGTTGATTGCCAGCCATGGAGAATGAGTCCAAGCCAACCAAGGCAATCAAATTTCCATTTGCTAGGAACTGATGCAGGGATGAACATGAGGCCTAGTTCTGAATGGGCAAGTTGACTAGAATTTCAGGAAGCATTTTTCTCCTTGATAAGAGAAGCACAGTAGAAAGCTCTGTGCTTGACTTCCTCCTCGCCTCCCAGCTCCCACCCATGTCTTACTTGAGGGCATGAACTACTTGCAGCTTTAGTGACCATCTTAAAACATAAGGGGAACATCATCTGTACACAAAAGGCCGGAATGTAAAAGAGGAAGAAACTGGGTCTTGCATGACATCACTGCATAGCTGAATCAGAAATCCCCTTATCCACAGTTTCGCTTGGACCATAGGTCAACTGTGATCCAAAAATAAGTGAGTATATACAATAAGATATTTTGAGAGAAACCACATTCATGTAAGTTTTATTATTATTTTGTTATAACTGTTCAATTTTATTATGTTTTTGATGTTAATCTTTTACTGTGCCTAATTTATAAAGTAAGCTTTATCATAGGTTTGTATGCCTAAGCATAAAACATAGCTGGCCGGCAGTGGCATGCTGGTTAAGGGTGCTGGATTCCCACATGGCTGACTGTGGTTCAAGTCCCAGACCTGGTGGCTTGCTTTCTCACTTCCGTTTGCTCTCTCTCCCTCTTTGGTCAAATCAAAATAAATAAATAAATAAATAAAAAGTTAAATAAAATAATTCTAAAAGACAAATAAAGCCAAGAACTAATATTTTTTTAAAAAAAGAATAAAACAGCATACATAAGATTTGGCACCATGCATGGTTTCAGACATCCACTGTGGGGTCTTGGAATGTGTCCCCCTCAGATAAGGGGCACTACTGTAGTTACGCAAACAACAATGCCTGTATTTAAAGGCATGTTTCATGAAGTGTTCTGTAATATGCAGTTGAAATTATGTTAACAAATCTAACTTAACTAAAATCATATATTAACTAAAGTTTGTTAAGGACAGATATGCATTAAGATGACTTCTTCTTAGCTCTGCATATAGGAGTTACATAATATTCTCACTAACTAAACTGACTCTTCTAGTGAAAAGGCCAAGATCCTGCATTGTGGCTTACCGGTTATTCACTAAGAATTTATTGAAAGATTGCTAAGTAGAGGCACAGAAGAAGTACAAAAAAGTTCTTCTCAAAAAATCTATAATCTGAGTCATCCACACAGGAGATGGAGATTTCCATTTTTGAGGGTAGGATGACTTAAAATAAAGAGGACTGGATTCAGAGCTAAAAGCTTTGGATCTGAATTTGTGCTTACACTAGTGACATAATCTGAAGCAGGTCCCTGTGATCATCGTGAGCCTTTGCTTTTATTTCTATAAAATAGAAATAACTTTTAAAAGGAGAGGTTTAAATAAGATATTATGTTAGAGGCCAGGTGGTGACACAATGGTAATGCAACTGGACCCACGTGGGAAAGGTCCTGGGTCTGCCTCTCAGGACCTCACTGGGCATGTCTGGTGTGCACAAGCATCCCTGTGATCAGGGACAGCTGTACCACAATCCCTTCTCTCCATTCTCCTCTCGGGATTTCGGGCATGCATGCACATGCACCCTGTATGAGTTTTAAGCCACCAGGTCCAGGACTCAATCCACACTCAATTAAGTAGGAGTCCAGCGCCTTAACTACAACATCACCAGTTGGTCCCTTATTGCTTGTTTTCATAGGTCAACTTTACTGGATCATATTTTACAGACTCTGCAACATTACTAGGTCACACACTGGGTAACTTTCGGCCTGTTTTATGATCTTCTCTCCTCTCGCATCTAGCCTTAGTTTTCTCATCTGCAAAATGAGCACCTTTTCTTTTGGGGCGGGGGTGTTGTTCTTATGAGGAATAAACACAATGTCCAAACTTTCAGTTTGGGTAATGGGTTCAAAACTGATGCTACTAAATTAGGAAGAGGCTCTAGGTCCCCTTTAAGCAATGGCATCCAGGAGCATAAGTTCAGAGCCACCTAGTTTTCTCTATTGAGTATGCAGACAGCTTCCCATCTTCCCTAACATTCACTGTTAAGATTCACAAACACAGCTGTGGACTTACTAAATGATACAATCTTTAAAATGTTCTTTGTCTTAAACTAAGTGTTACATGGCTTGCTCTTAATTTTCAAAGTCTACAGATTGGTAGCATTTTAGGTCAAGAAGGGTCCTTAGAAATCATCCATTATTATTATTTGAATGTTGAGCCTTTTTGTAAATAACCCAACTTTGTAAAGTGATTTTTATCCATAGCTGGAAAGGGGATTTCGGGCATGCATGCACATGCACCCTGTATGAGTTTTAAGCCACCAGGTCCAGGACTCAATCCACACTCAATTAAGTAGGAGTCCAGCGCCTTAACTACAACATCACCAGTTGGTCCCTTATTGCTTGTTTTCATAGGTCAACTTTACTGGATCATATTTTACAGACTCTGCAACATTACTAGGTCACACACTGGGTAACTTTCGGCCTGTTTTATGATCTTCTCTCCTCTCGCATCTAGCCTTAGTTTTCTCATCTGCAAAATGAGCACCTTTTCTTTTGGGGCGGGGGTGTTGTTCTTATGAGGAATAAACACAATGTCCAAACTTTCAGTTTGGGTAATGGGTTCAAAACTGATGCTACTAAATTAGGAAGAGGCTCTAGGTCCCCTTTAAGCAATGGCATCCAGGAGCATAAGTTCAGAGCCACCTAGTTTTCTCTATTGAGTATGCAGACAGCTTCCCATCTTCCCTAACATTCACTGTTAAGATTCACAAACACAGCTGTGGACTTACTAAATGATACAATCTTTAAAATGTTCTTTGTCTTAAACTAAGTGTTACATGGCTTGCTCTTAATTTTCAAAGTCTACAGATTGGTAGCATTTTAGGTCAAGAAGGGTCCTTAGAAATCATCCATTATTATTATTTGAATGTTGAGCCTTTTTGTAAATAACCCAACTTTGTAAAGTGATTTTTATCCATAGCTGGAAAGACTTTTACTATGGGGCCCTTTGACTGTTGAGGTTCCCTTGAACTGTCCTTTGGGTGCTTTCATAGGAAAATAACCATGCACGACAAGAATGCAATATAAAATTTTACTTCAGCAACATACATACTTAGAAGTTACTGCTGAACAGGAAAAACATTACTAATAAACTTTCTTCACATAATTAATTCTGGTGGCTTTCCCAGCTTCACAAATACGAACTAGAATTTGTGACATTACTTCCTTATGCTATCCATTAATGGTGAACTGTGTGCATTCCAATATAGAGAGGGGGAGAGGAACAAATGAGGACTCTGAAAAGAACACTTAGCTGCATTTGGACAAAAAATGGCCTTTACAAGGGTTTTTATTATAGGCCATAAAACAGCGCTTCCCACATTGTACCTCTTCCTTGCAAAAGAAAAGAAACCCTTGCAGTAGTGAGAAGCTGGAAACAACACATTGAGTACTCGTGCCTCTTCCCATAAACACATCTGTGCATATTATCTGTTCTGGGTAGAGCTGTGTGCACAGCTATTTATGGGGACTCTGAAAAAGAAGCACTTGAACATTTTTTATTTTGTGTTGTTGCAAGGACTAAATTTTTAAGATGAGGCCTGTTAGGATAGAGGCAGCAAATGTACCTCCAGGGGAAGGAGGACCATATGCTCCTTACTAATAACTTCTTCAATCTACAGGAGAAAGGTCTAGGTGGTCACATCTAGTCTGGAAAAACACAGAGGCCAAGAGAAAAGGGAATCTTTTAGCCAAATGAAACGGAGGAGCAAGCAATGGAACTAAGGCAAAATTGAGAAATGGGTTAACAATCTAATGACGACTTGGTAAGAAAATGTAGTGCGTTACCATTAAAATCAGCAACATAATAGGAACTGTCCAGAGAAAGATGAGCATAGCTATGGCTAGAAAATTCTTAGTCTCAAAAGTATCCATGTACAGGTATCTAGGTAACAGGTATGTTTATGCACTGAATGTTACTTTGGTTTAAAGATACCTCTTCCTAAAATGAAGGTTTCTGTTGACTTCTCACTCTTGCTGTTCTCTTAAATATGCTTCTCGTGCCTTCAAAGTTTTCCTGGCTCACCTAAAACTCCAGTGAAATTTATAGCACATTCTCT